TCAACGAAAATGGTGAATTTATAGGTAAATTAATTGATTCATTAATTATTATCAGCGGTGTTCAATACATTTTTTGAAAAATCAGATTTTTCATTATCACTATATGTTCATAATAATCACTAACGCATGCGTGTTTGTCTCTTCTACACGTTCTAATAACACCATCATTGTATAAAGAAAAACATATTACAGTGAATTCCAGAGATGAAAACACTTTTGGTCTTAAATTGTTGAAATTTGTTAATTTATCTTACAGTCTTATCATAATAAAACATTGTTCGTACATTTATGCACAACATACCATAAATATTATAACAGTCAATCCTCCCTATTACAACCGCACTTTTATGACAAGGTACTCTTACAGAGCGGTTTTCGTTCAACAACCCATATATGGTTCTTGTAACTAGATAGCCGTGTATGACATCGGTTTTAGTAATGTCAGAGCTTTTTCACAGCATCTTAGTTATTCTGAAAAAAATTTTGCTTGATTTTCTGAATTTTTTAATCTTTTGTTTCATTTTTATTATCCGATCCTTATATAAACTGCTTCCGTATATATTGCTCTCCATATAACGTGCAAATATGTATACGAGGTCTGTTCAAAAAGTACCCGGAATTTTCGTTTTTTCAAAAAAATATTTATTTATTCGTCTACATTAATGTGGTCCCCTTCAAAGTAGTCCCCCCCCAGATATAATACACTTATGCCAGCGTTTTTTCCAATTTTCGAAGCACCCTTGATATTCACTTTTTGATATGTCCTTGAGCACTCTCAGCGATTTTCTTCAATCGAGGAAAACCGCCGTCCTTTCATGGGTCTCTTCAACTTTGGGAATAGGAAAAAGTCACACGGAGCCATATCTGGTGAATTTTTGCACTTTGCAACACTTTATTTCATTTTTTACGCAAAATTTAATACAAATTCTTTGACTTTTCAATTCTTCCATTGTAAAAATCGCCGAGCTCAGAAAAACACGTCGAACCTTAGCGACTACCACAGACAAAGTAAACAGTGAATATAGCTGAAAATTTCATCATACTTTAGGGGCATGTATACCAACACAATAAAAAAAAAATTTTGACAATCAGACACTCCAGACCCGCGAAATTTAATTATTAGTAATTCCGGGTACTTTTTGAACACACCTCGTATACTAATTCTAAGTTTCTTGCATCGCGAGAATTCGAATTTTTATAGCATGTTTTCTTTACTCACCGCGTTATGGGAGGGTTAGCTGTACATATTTCATTTGATATTTCAGTCAGTACTTTTTATTGTGTTGTTTTTGGCAATCAAAGCTTTTTGTAATCAGTGTATGGTAACTTTCATAATTGTAGTTGTTTAAGATTCGTCAATCATTTCATCTGTAAAATTTAAAATTTTATTTGATTAATTAATCCTTTATTTCATTTATGTTCTGCGCTTAAATGTTTTGTATACAGGTTGTGTTGCTTTTATAGATGCTTGCGAAACGGAGGAAAATCTTTCCGATAACTACTTAAACAATACGAATTCCAGTAAAACATACAATGCACCATCTGTTGTGCCACAAAGTAGTATGCTTGGTAATACGCAGCATGCTCAAGATTCATATCAGTCTCCTGACAACTATCAATCTCAACCTAAGACAATGAGTTACCCAGAGCCAGATGTAATGAATCCGCCTCGTACATTACCACCAAATGCGCCCAATTATAATATGCCGCCCACTTACAACTCTCAACAGTATCAAACTAGTGGAATGAATCCCAATTCATATCAGAATCAGTCAAATGCACAATATCAGCAGCAGCAGCAGCAACAGCAACAGCATTACAAACAGCATAGTCAGCAGCAGCAATCGTATACCCCAAATCAAAATACTGCACAGCAAACACAGCAGATGTATCACCAGGGCAACCAGCAGGCCTATAATAATGCGCACAAGCCGAATTATGTGAACAATTCCTCATACGGCAATCAAAATATGCAAATGAGTCAAACAATTGGAAAGATTGCTGACTATGATCCAGTCACAGATGGACCGAGAAATACACCATATACTTCAAGACAGAGTTCTACTCTTATTTACAGTTCCGATAGGGGTGCAGGTAAATTCTATAATAGGTACTTGAATTAAGATATAGATTTAACTAAAATGCAAATATCAGTTTATCATGATTCAGAGGTAAATGATTTATATTGATTCACAATATGGTAAGATATTTGGGTTTTAGGCAGATAGTTATACATTGCTTGCTATTTGTGTTATATTTATGTGTTATTCATTATCAAAATTATGCTTCATACACACACACACACACACATATATATATATATATATATATATATATATATATATATATACGTTATATATGTTATCATATTCTATATATCATATATAACAACAGTAGTAACAGTAAACTCATTTTTTGTTTGAAATCATATTTTATATTATTAGAAAATATTTCATATAACTGTGTTTTTGTAGTAAGTGGTCAAGCACGAAGAATTGGATCAGTTGCTGATATGGATCCTGTGAGTTATGGATACAATGCTATGCCTCCAACGCCAACACATAATGTTACGCAGCAGTCAGGAGTAAGTTGATGAAATATAAATACTATATATTATATAGTATATATATATATATATATATATATATATATATATATATATTAATTTAGAAATATGAACTAACAGTACTCTTTTTTGCACTAATTTATTAAATATTATTTTACAAATGTTTTGAGACTAGATTTGTTTCATCATCAGTGTATTATAATTTAAAATCTAAAATATGAATGTAGCACTATGTGTTAACTGTTCCTACTTTCTCTGATTACTGGTGAGAATGCCAAATGATTTGTAGGAGAGTAAAACATCTGTACAAGGTCAATTTGGTGACTCATGAAATATCGAATAGGAATAAACGGGAATAAGGCCCAGTTGATAAATAGATATTGATTTGAGTTTGAAAGCATTTGAAAATAGATTTGAGTTTAAAAGCAAGCCTTTTTTTAGAACGTTTTTCACTGTTAGTTATTTTTTATACTACAAAATTGTTAGAATTAGATGTTTTAGAAAAAATAAAATATCAAATAGATACGAAAACATGAGAATTAAAAAAAACTAAAATTGAAAAAAAAAACAAGTTAGAGATTTGAAGAGTTATTTTAAAAAAAATTGATAATATGTATTATGAAATGATCATGTACTAACAAAGCAGAATTTCGTTTATTAACGCAAAAAGGGCTTAAAAGATAAATATAGATTCAGCAAATTTTCTGAGGTCACCATTTTTTCCTTATGTAAAATAATAGAAATCTTGGTATTAAGAGTATGGTTTAAACTAATGATATGTACCGACAACATAGTCTTATATTGATTTGCATTTTTTGAATTACAAGTATGCTGATTTATTCTCTTTGAAATATATTGAGAACTTTTTCTAATGTAACATATATATTTATATATATATATATATATATATATATATATATATATATATATATATGTATGTTTATCTTTCAAATTCAAAATGTCTATATATTAAAACCAATTATTGGTAACAGCGAGTCTATCGAGCCCTATATGACTACAGCGCTCAAGATGTGGACGAAGTCAGCTTTATGGACGGTGACCTTATAGTAAATGTTTCCTGCATTGACGAAGGCTGGATGACCGGAACTGTACAACGGACAGGAATGACTGGAATGTTACCTGCTAACTACGTTGAGATTGCAAGCATATAATTGTCAAAAGCTGTTACATTTAAGTAATGAATTCAAATATTGTTATTCAAATTTTGTCACAAGGTGATGAACTTCAAATAAGTTTTAATTTTTTTTTTGCATGGTCATGGTCATAAAATACTGCACTTTGTTATTTTTTTGTTGTAAATAATGGATTTTTTCGGTATGTTATCAATTTATTTGGATTTTTTTTGGTATGTTATGACCAGATTTTTTTTTATTTTCTGCATCACATTATTAAGCCATAATGTAACATAATTACAACTGTAATTTTAATATAGTATTTATTATATTTAGTTTATTCTTTAGGCAATGCAATGCCATTTTATTTGAAAAAGGAAACCAGATATCGATGAAGTTCAGTATTGTAAGTTTTAGTATTTGTTTTTGCTTGATACTTTACATTCCTTATGCATTTATTAACAAAAATATGATTAGCCTTATATTCTCATGTATGGTATGGCTCAATTTGTCTTCCAAAAAGCCTTAAAAAATTAATTAAATATGGTGCTGTTATATTTTGTGCCTTACTCAACTGCAAACTGAATTTTTTACATTTATACATGAACAATTTTAATTAATTGAATATTGCTAATCTAAATTTAGGTATACATATGTTTGCCAGTATTAATACTAAGTAATTCGGAATACTCTGGTTTATTTTTTTATGCTTTCAATCCTTGAACATTTATTGAAATAATATGTACGTATTTATTAAAACTTTCTAAAAAATACTGCAATCTTCAGAACAATATATGAAACTGAATTGATGTTTTTACATGTAAATATGTTATAAGTGTATATAAATAGTTTTGTATATTGTATTATTTGGAACATAAAATTGATTAATTTATTGCAAGTTAAAATAGTGGCAATTAATCATCAAACGAATGTGAGCAATTAATGACTATTCCATTAGAGATGAATGGAAGAAAATGCATAAATTTGATGGATTTGCCAATTATTAAATATTACATTTGCAGTTAATTTCAAGTATTGATAATTGAATCTATAGCAGTGTTTCTTTAAGTATTCAAATGATTTAATAGATTATATTTTGAAATTATTTTATATAATGCTAATATATGTAGCATACATAATATGATAGTCTGCAAAATATACATTTGTTCATATACTTTAGTTTACTTTTCTTTTTTTTTAGGCAGATTAAGTGTGGAAATTAAATTAATACACAAAATATTGGAAAATAGTAATAATATAAAATTCTATAATTAATAAAAGATTTAATATAATATTTGGTCACATCTATATTACATCTTTGTATACAACATTTGAGATGGTTTCTTTTCTGAGAAGAAATTTTTTAGCACATACACTTGTCCTATAGTTATAATGAGAACAGTTAAAGTTTCAAACACTGACCACCACATAACTCTTTCATTAAGATCCTCAGCCCTTTTGCGACCTTGTGCCTCTCTCAGCCGATGGTGAGTCTGGTAATTGAGAATACTGGTCAAACTTCGATGAATCTCTTGTGCAGAAGATTCAAGTTGGGTAAGTACTGTAGCATGCTCCCCGACACCGGGTAAAGGCTGTTCATCACCAACTTGAAAGTCCATATAAACCAATTTGTGTGAGAACGTGGAAAATTCATTACTGAAACAAGCAACGTAAACACCACTTATCGGTGCAGTGAAATGATGCGAATCAAATTGGGTTTTCACTTGACTATATATAATTTGCTTATTTGGGCTTTCTAATGTTACATCAACATCATACTGACCGCCCGTGACGACCTGAAAATTTTTAAAGGCAATATAGTAATTGGTGGAAGAATCATTTACTTAATCATCGGAAATCACCTGAAACTCTAAGGTGACGCTTGTATTTTTTTGAATATCTTGGTAAAAGCATTCTTTTGCATTATCCGGTAGTTCAAAAGTTAATTCAACGCTTTGGGTACCTTGTGAAATTAATAGAATCCACAAAACTGTATACACAACATTCATTGCAGTACGCATTGCTGTCATATTATAAAAGCATTTAGACTTTTATGTTATTATCAATAATTTTTCCTAATACCTTTAATTTCAAAAATAATCTCGGTTTGTTATCGTGTCATCACCTTGTCATTTTTGCGTGCGTCAGTCGGTCAAGTCATTTCAGCTTCAGCTTAGTGAATTGACGAACCGTTTTCTGTCATCCGTTATTTTTTAGTTAGCGGAATTAACCGAAAATAAATGACACATAGATAAAAGAAGAGCCAGATTGACACATTGACACGACCATGACGCGACAGTTGTGAAATCTGTTTCGGCTTGAAAACATCAACAAATCAACAAAATTTCGTTGAGAATGAATTGTGCAAGAGCTCAAGTATAAGCTTCTACAAGAAAGACAAAATATTTAGGTATTTTCCAGCTGTTCAAAATTGGATTACCATTTCACACGGATCTGAATATATGTACTTGGAAGAAAATGAATTGCTTAAGAATGTCGAATTTTACACGGTATGATTATTAACACGTATCTATATCCATCCATCCAACTTAATTTATTAATGAAAATGATTAAAATATAATAATTTATTCAATTAAATCTCATTTATTTTGCATTTTCCATGTTTGACATAAAAATCCTTAACCTAAAATTAAGTTTACAATTACATTTGTCTACTGAATGGTTTTCAGGTTATGTTGAAACATTTCAATTTGCCATTGAAATAGTGCATATATTTATTAATTATTACGTTGAAAAGTATGAAAAAGTGATTAGGAAGGCCTTTAAACAATACCAAAACGATTAATATAGTGAATGTTGTGTTTTTACGCCAATAATCCTTATTAATATGATCCTTAACAATATAATCCTTATTAGAATATAGGGTCCGTTCGTTTTCCAGTGTTTCACACTTTTTATAGTTATTTTGTGAATAATTAAATTAGTAATGAATATGATTCTGGTTCTGAATATGACATGATTTTGATTTTTTTTTTTTTTAATAAAGTTTACTTAATTATAATAATATATCACATTTTTTTGTACATACTCGTACCTGATTCATACAGAATTTTTCCTGTTTTTTTTTGTTAAATGCGAAGCAATAATGAGATACAATTTTCCAAAGTTTCAACAAGCAAGTGTAACTAATATCTGCTGTTATCTCATAAACAATTTTCATTCTGTGCGAATTACATTCATTCTTCGAGAATTTTTTTATTTTGGGTTTTATTTAAAAAATTATGTTCGGCTTGTTAATTAATAAAGGATTTAATTAGATCGAATTCTATGTAATATTATAGTAATAAGTCTAAGGCTATCGGTGGCCTTAATCTTACTGAAAGCACAATTTCTATAAGTATCATAAAGTATTAAGAAAATTAATTTATATTTCTGTGATAAACAAAAAGCCCATGAAATATAAATTCAATGGCCGCCAAAGATTTTTCCAAATTAAATTGCACAAATTAATGTTAGCATAATTTTGTTAAGAGGGTTGAATTAAAAGATTATTTTTTATGGATTCAAAATAGTGCAGGAAAGCTTTAGTGAGTATAGCTATGTTTATAATTATACTATTTTGTTCATCTTAATTCAATACAAATCTCTGTGTTTTACAGGTTCAGAATTAAATTTTTCTTTAATCATCTTGGAAATTTTGCAATTGAAATCAGTCGAAGCATTTGACAAAAATACAATTTTTGGGATGAAGTTTGTGAGTCAGTGATCCTAGTCAACCCATTCATCAAACAGTAGTTGTTTAATTCAGTTCAGGCAATTTGCCTTAAGGTACTCTCTTGTTTACTAATATAGAAAAGCAAGAATATTGTTACAATATTGTTCTGATAATTCATTTATTATCTATAATAGCAAATAAACAGAAGCGTTTGTAATTTTTTTGTACTGTTTGAAACTCATATTGCTCATAACAGAAATGCTAAGTTGCTGTATAATTTTTTACAACATAATGTGTAAAAGATAAAATGTTCGAATATCAACTCTTTTGAAATATAGTTTCAATGTCTTGTCTGACAAGAAACTTATTAATACAATTTGTGTTAATAAAGTTGCATATACCCCTTTTATAAGAATAATCATATAATTAAGTTCTTTCTTCAACTAACTTTGTATCTCATTTACAATTGTTAAATTTCATAGGACTTACATACAGCTTGCTAGTGGTAACAAATTGCAATGCGACAGAACAAAACAAAACTAAATACATGCAAATTAAGAACATCATTTTGAGAACACAATTACATCACATCATATTTATAAGACATCTGCAAAGCACATTAAAATATTCAACACATTCACGCCGTGTTCAGTTTTGACTAATGTTTTTATATAGCTATGCATCAACTAATTTAAATTTTTTATTGCAACCATTCATCAGGACTTAGTTAAATTGAAGCACCCTTGATTGTTTCAAGAAATATTTAAATGCTATTTACCAAATAGTTATACACTTTAATTGTAATTGAATTAATAAAAGTTAATATTCCAAAGCTGTATTTTGAAAAGGTTTCAATACTTTGTTCATCTACAAGTTTGTGAAATACACAATGTATTGATTTATTAATTGCAAGTAGTGAAGTAAAATGTAGGACTTGGTCAGGAAACAAGTTTTGAACTTTTCTTTCTACTAATAGAAATAGCATAGCAGTACATGTGTCTAGCATAATAATTATATTATTCATGTAGGTTATTGGCAGCTGGGACTTGAACAACCGGGTACAACTCACTCTTTCGTTGGTTACATTGGCCAGGACGTGGAATGGATAGAAGAGTAAGTTCAGATGAGTACTTATTTTAATTCAATTCTATCATAATTATGAGCATGTGCAAGATTATCCAAATTAAAAAAGTGTTTGCTTGAATTTGATGACAGATAATTCGTTTAGTACCATCGAAAATTGATTGGCTCTGTTAATTGTATAGTAGGTTACTAGTTTTTGTTAACAATGCGGAAAAATTGTTTTGTGATGGATTTGAAATTTTATACAATTTTGCTGAATTTATTTAATAGTTGATTTTTTTTTCATTACAATCTTATAAATTTACGATTAATATTTTATGATTATGATTATGATAAATATTTTTAAAATTTTTAATTATTTCAAATGATTTATTTGCTCAAATTTGCTTGTAATATTTGTACAAAGTGCAAAAGTTTATCTACATTCATCAATGAAAAATGGTATCTTTACTGTGTGTATATTAATCAATTGTTTTTCGATAAATTAAAATTCAATTACGTTTTTATTTTATGTATTTTCTTACTTCTATTATTTTTTAAAATGATTGTTTTAAGTAATTCATTTCACAAAACAAATCTGAACATATGTATTCTTTTTTAGAAATTCAATATACATTCAACTAAACATGTATAAGACTCCAAATTATTACCAATAATAATTCAATTTTCAGTGAGTGATTATTTAAAAAATAACAATAGATTTTTTTTTTAATCAGTTTTTGCAAAAAGTAAAAAAATTGAATAAAACAATTTGGATTCTAAAGAATTTTTATGAATTTGTATTATATTATAGAAAATAATATAAATTTAAATAACTTTTTGCATTATTGTATAAAATAAATATTGCAGTTTTATTTCATGCAATATTGCAATAAATTGTGGTACTCGTCAATTTTAATGTCTTAATTATACAGTAGTAATTATTATCATCAATTTGCAATCGTGCATTTCTGCTCATAACTCATATAATTTTATTA